CAGATGAGCCTCCGAAAACATTAAATTTTATCATCTCGGAAGTACGTAACCAACTCCATATTTTTATGAAGAGATGATACCACTACTGAGAACATTATCCATCAGAATGAATCACTCACAAATTGTCTAAGGATTGGAGTTGCAAGTTAATTTTCAATATAATCAAATTTCACCAGCTTCAAAATATTTTGCCAATTTTATATTTTCAGAATGTTAAAAGAAGACTAATTAGAGTTTTCGCCATCGATATGAATTATTCGCAAGTCGTCTAAGGACTGAATTTGCAGATGAAATAAAAAATTAATAAATTTGATCAACTTTGAAATATTCAGCCAACTCAATGCTGGCTACTGAGAACACTCGTCATCAGTATGAATGACTTGAAGGGGTAGAGTAAAATTCAACCAACTTCAAAATATTCGATTTCGTATTTTCAGAAAGGGATAATAGCTCTACTGAGACATTATTCATCAATATGAATAACTCGCAAACCAGCTAAGAGGTTCAATGGCAGTGAATTTCTGAAATTATTTCAGTTTGATCAACTCCGAAATGATTGTCAGCTACAAATTTTCGGAAAGTGATGATCAAATCGCTAAGAATATGCTTCTTCAATGTTATTGACCGGAATTTTTCTTTGAATATTTACTTTTGTGCGCCCTTGATATATTTATTTAATAGTTTAATGAACCGGTGACTCACTAACGGTCATTTACTTATGCAGGAGAAAATTTTGGAAAAAATTCAATTTCACCTACTCCGAAATATTTAGCCAACTTCGTATTTTCAGAAAGACATAACACCACTATTCCGTCCACTTTTCATTAGTTCATAAGTTAATTAGGTTTATATTCATCTCAATTATTTTCTACACACGTTAAATTTCTCATCCTGTATAAGGACTTCTTTTCTGTATCTGAGAATTTTTTATATTCGTTGCGATATGGGACCTAAAATAGACAGTAACGAGTAGTCATCAACCCAATGAGGGCTAATGAAGAAATTGAAATATCAAAAAGTACTCTCGCATCTCCATGATTGGATATAAATTCCAATTGTTGCCCTCAGGGACATATTGATTATTGTTCGTGTGATTACCTGTGACATAAGCCGGTCGGCTGAGAGTGCTACGCATCGCACATAAGGTAAGAACCTGAAAGTCTCTCGTGTAGGTACACTTGAAATTAACCATAGTCGTTCCTTCCATTTTCATCTTTTTTTTGCACAAATGTTCACTCAGTTCTTGAATGCAATCAGATGTCCCATTTGTGAAACGAATTATTGCTATTATTTAAAGATATTTTTTTACTTATTTTCACGATTCTACAAATGAAATTTGATACGGTTTGAATTAAATTTCTACAGAATAGCTAAATTACTTTCTTTCTCATTTAAGTAGGCATTGAAGCAGACGGTATATAAAAACAAATTCTACTGGGATCTTCTTCATCATTGCTTCCGATAATTAATAATTTTCTCTTGTTACAAGGTGTACGCAAATGAGTTTTTTCCCAAATTTATTTCAATAATTTGATTTGACTGGTTTATTAGTATAGTTATATTTAATTTAAGTGATTCATATTCATATTATGGTATTATACACATTCTACAGGGTGCATTTACATTTGATTACAGATATAAATTTTCTTTCAAATCGTTATTGTTATAATATGTAACCAATAAAATTCCTAACTTCTCACCTTTGTATGAAATACTCATGTAATTACTATTATGTAAGTGACGTGGATTCAGAGTGCCTTGGTTGAGTTTATTTGTGAAAGTCAGAATTGGGAGATATGGGAGACTCAAAAAGTTACAGCTCTTAAGCTAACGGAAATCAACTGTATGAGGGAAAATGTTAGATTGCCTCACAGAGGCAAAAACTTATGATAATGTGCATTCGATTTTTAGGATGAGACATCAGTTCGTTGATGTAATCAAAGGGCAGTTATATTTTTTATCTGCTACTCATTGGTCAGAAATAAAAAGCACCTGAAATCTAAAATCAGAGAATCCACTGGAGTTGAGGAATTTACAAAATACATTTGCTGATAACTTGTCCTCTCTCAAGCTCCTCTAGCTGCCCATTGACAAATGGGATTTCATACTAGTACAGATGATATTGTAATGTATCGATGTACCTGCAGCAACCAAATTGAAGTTGCATCATAACTCACCGTCAATGCCTAGTTATACTGAATTAATGGATTTTCTAAACAAGCATTGCAGTACTCTGGATAACATTATATTATCCAATAAAATTGGGCCCTTCAAGAAAATTGAAAATTCCAAATCCTATACATTCTTATCAAGACCTTCATACTCCCCAGTAGCTAATTCTCTCACATTGAGTTGTACCATTTGTGTAGGTGTTCATGATATTCATAAATGCCCCAAATTTTCAGAAAATTCTCCTCAGGATCGTTACCAGATTATGAAAGATATCCGCTTCTGTGTGAAAATTTTGAGGAACTCTCATGCGATCAGACAGTGTACTTTAACACTTACATGTCACAAATGTCAGCAGAAGCTATGGCTACATTTTGACAAAAACAATTCTGAATCAAAAGTTTTGGTTTCAAACCATTCCGATTCAGATATTGTGTCTACTTCCTCGGGGCATTCTTCATCTCAACCCACTTCTCCCAGTATGATAGTCTCTCAATCCCTCACAGGTATTTCATCTCGATATACTAATGTTCTCTTATCCACTCCACTTGTGAAAATATTGGATAGCAGAGGTCATTTCTAAAACGTTCATGTTCTTTTAGGCTTTGGTTCCGAGAGTAATTTCATATATCAAAATTATGCTAACCGTTTAGGCCTGACAAGTTATGTTCCGTATCGTTCGAAGTTTGTAAATACTGGTACAAATTATATAGTTCGGCAACGGCGCATTTTTTTTTTTTCGAAATAAGGAAAACGAACCATATTGGTAGGAAATGTAGTATGTTCTTTACGTTTATGGGAGACGGAACTTATGGTGTATTATTATTGGTTGTTCAATCGGTTCGTGATACATTTTGAATTTAATTATTTGTTTGCTGGGGAACAATTATCGGAAGATCTTCCGATTAGAATTCATATGTCCTTCATTTTCCTACTTCACCTTCCTATTTTCCCTAATTGCCAACGTTTTGGGTGGAAGGAAGGAACCAGTGACAATTTTTGGGGTAAGTTGTGAATTTTTTAACCTAATCAGGTAATATTTGCAACAAGTTATCCATTCAATTTTTCAGTGCAATGTATAAGCTTTTCTGGAAATCTAGCCTGTCAAATCAAACCTTCCGGAAAATCTGGTCCAGTTGTAGTTATTTTCCGAATTTGCGTTGAGTTGCCCAGTTCTCAACTCCTGATCGATTTTTGGCCACATCAATATCTCCTTCATTTGGCGGATCCCAAATCTCACTCTCCAGGTCCCATCTACCGGGAGCCGATTAGTTCCCCCACATAACTGTCAGGTCGATTGATGGAAAATCCAGGTTAACCTGTCGATCTGAGTTTGATTTTGTTTGTTTGGGTTTGTTTCAATGGACAAAACTGGTTCCTCAGTGCAGGTTTCATCTTTTTCTCTTTTCCCCAAAAGATATGTTCATCACCAGATGACGAAAAGTATTTTCCTGTTTCTGAAACCTGTGCTCTCAACTGTTTTTTGTCATTAGAACGCTGACTTCTGAAAAATCCCCCCTTGTTTGAAAATTGTGGAGATTTTCCCCAACAGACCTCATGAAAGATTATCGTCTCCTTACGGTTATGTATAGAGACTCTTGCGCCACCTATTCAGCAATCAGAACTTTGCTAACCCTAGCTGACTAGGAAAAGACCAATTACCCCCTTGCTGCGCAAGCGATTGACTCGCAAACCTATATCGATGACATAGTTACGGGTGCCTCTACCTTTCATACTGCCAAAATTCTCCGGTTTCAACTGATTTCTTTGCTTTGGAAAGGTGGTTTTGAACTGAGGAAATGGTTTTCAAGAGAACCACTTAATCTGATATTCCTAGTGCACATTTATGTGATGAAGCACTTTCTTTTAACTTTGAATCTGACAACTCCTTGAAAATTCTCGGGCTCCAGTGAAATCCTTCCTCAGATTGCTTCTCTTTTGCTGTTCCTTTCAAATTTAGCCAGAATATTTGATTCTCTGGGTTTCTTGTCACCCATCACGTTTAATGTGAAATTCTTGATACAAAGATTATAGATCTTTCATCTTGATTGGGATGCCCCTTCTCCAAACGACATTCGTCGTTTTTGGGAACAATACAAATACATATTTGAACTTCCCTCTTTAATAGAATTCAACTACGACGTTTAGTAATACCTTAATTTCCAAACTTGCGAACCTCATGGTTTCTGTGACAGTTCTGAGAAAGGGCATTGTGCCGTCACTTGCTTTATATTTGTATCTCAGAAAGGCTTTGTTTCCACTCATTTAATTTGTGCAAAATCGAAAGTAGCGCCACTCAAGAGCCGTCCCATACCAAGACTGGAATTATTCGCAACCGTTCTGCTTGCTCGGCTCCTCTCCTGTTGTTATTGCAACCTATGGCTCCAAAATAGTCCTTCACAAGATATTCATTTTTACGGTCATATTCAACCGTAGTACTCAGTAGGTTTAGCTCCCCTGCTCAAAAATGGAAAGCATTCGTTTTTAACAGTGTTTTTTTTATACAAGATAAAATTGCGTCCAGACACTGGTATCACGTCTCGTCTACGATAACCCCGCTGACATTGGTTTTCTAGGCCTATTTTCCTCAGCACTGCTCAACCATAATCTTTGGTAAATAGGACCCCCGTTTTTGAGTGCTAGTGGTCTAAATTGGTATCCTTTTTTCACTAGGTGTCCTCCTCGAGAAGCAGTAGATGAGGAACGTACTGCTCCTGCTTGACTGAGGTTGCACCTCATATATACAGAGTGTATCTTGAACGATTTCATTAATTTCAGGTGGTGATACTTCTCTTATTTTATGAAAAAGAGTTCATATGAACTACTTAATAGGTCAAAGAAGAGGAATCGGGAACTTTGGACGCAGTCCAATCCATGCAAACTGTAACACTGAATGTTCAAAAATCCAAAGACATCTATGTGCAACGTGGACAAGAACTTGAGCGTTTACGTAAAGAAAGCTCATCTGCGAAGGAAATTGAAAAAGCTGAACAAAAACTGAAGAAAGCCCAGGAAGACTACAAAGGTTTTTTGGATAAGTACAGTGGCATAAAAGACGATTTCGAAAAGAAAATGTCGGTGACTTGTAAGAACTTTCAAGAACTAGAAATCACTCATTTAGAACACATGAAAGAATTTTTGAATAAGTATGCCGAAGTTATCGAATGGACACATGAGCAAATGGGAAATGTTCATTTAGAGTTTAGACAGCAATGTGTGGAACTCACTGTAGATCAGCTATTGGAGCAGTTTGTACATAGTAAATCTACTGGGCCAGAAAGACCAGGTAACTCATTCTATACACGACATTTGATAATATATATTTTGGACACTTTCCAAGATTATCATCCTTTATTAATTCATCAAGTTTTTGTGGTGGAATAAATATCACTAAAATTTAAAGTTATATACGTTTTTGTCTTTTGAGATGATTTTTTCCAAGTAGGTTGGCAGTTGAAAGGTTTATTGTTAAAACTGATGATAAATTCAATCAAAAATGCCCCATTTTCTTAGCACACTTAAAAAATTCCAATTGGATGAGATGTTTTGCAAGATGGAAAAAGGGTTATATGGAATATAGAAACTGCCACAAAACCTGCTTTTACTTGATAATGTTCAGAAGATGTTAATAATCATTTGTTGTGTAGGAGTATTGGACTTGGAGGACCCTTTGACTTCTCCTACGATGGATGTGGAAAGCAAACCGGCAAAGCGCGAAGGTAATGGCCATAGTGAGCAAACAGAGCCAACACATGCCAAAACATCCCGTCGAACAACCTCTCTCCTAAACCTCTTCATGTCTAATTCCCAGGGTACGTTATGGTAACCCGCTAGCTATAGCACTATTTAACTTGGGCTTGGGCTATTTTTTAGGGTCACGTGAAAGTCGAGCAGGCCCTTGCAGCGCTCCATCAAGCCCCACTTCTCCTGAAGGAGAACAGCAGTTGACGCGCCATTCAAATCGTGGATCCAAGTGTAAATTTTCTTTCCTTCTAGATGTACCTGGGCCAGGAAATGATATAAAATTCCTTGTTTGACTGAGTAGCCTAGATACATTCTGGTGACCCATCCTAACTTGATATAGAGCTGCAGACATATAAGTGAATTCGTTTTCAGTTTCGGGAATTTCACTTCTGGTATTTTTGATACAGAATAAATTTGATTGTTTTACTTATACGAGTACATCAGCCAATTCAGTATTTAGTTTACCGATTTAGATACCCATAGTTTCTCCATTCCCCCTGAGATGGCACTGAATTTATTACAGAATACGTACTTATAAGGAATTTTATAATCATATGTTCTGTCATTTCAGCTGCATGACTGGGCTACATCTATGTTTTACAATTTATTTTCGGTGGAAGTTGATCTATATTCAATTCTTCCTTTCAGAAGTTCCTGCCTTTCTCATAGAGAGCTTTGCAATTTTAGTTTTTCTCGGGTTATGTAATCATTTGCACGAACTAATTATTTTTTATTTGTACACTATATCCGGCGTTGTGTTGGCAAATCTTTCATGTCGTAGCACAGTATGTTAATCTGTCTTCTGACACACTCTGTTTTAATAAAATTTTCTTATTAATTTTTTTGAGTTCTAACTATATTGCACGGTGATACTTGATATGTTATATAAGACTGTTGGGAAGAGACCTACTAATTTCAAAAAGTGTTTTATATCTTATATCTTAATGTTACATTATCTAATAATTTCTTTGTATGATTTTCCAGTCATTCATTGTTTTTAAAGCTAAATGAATTGATATAAACTGTATTTTCTGTTTGTATGAGAAATAAGTAGGTATGCTTATTTTATTATAAGTTCAAAGCGAATATTAAAAGTAATGGAGAGTTTTTCTAAGTTTCAAATGATCTGCCATGAAACCATCATGTCTCAAGTATACCTCCGAGTTGTTTTGAAATGTTTATACATTTCAAATATGTATTTGGTTATATTTGCTTCAACTTTGATTGAAATTGTCGTTATTTTCACAGTCGAACATACAGTTGTTACGTTGACATGCTAGTAATATAATATACTATTATGTGTCATTTCATTATTGGTTTAATTTTGTGGTGCATATAGTGTCAAAACAATTACTGTTGGTTTGATTGCTATTCAAATATTTGCATGTGAAGTACAGTTTACCTTATATTTTTCAATCTCTTCTTTCGACAAGTAAAAAACTCGTGAATCATAAATAATCACCCACGGTGAAACTCATGACTAATCAAGAACAAATACTCTAGGAAACCCATTCAAATAAACACATTCGTGATTTTGTATTGCACTGTTTGGAACCTTTGTTGTAGTAATGAATATTACTGAAGTTTTTTTCCAACACCAATCCGTTATTTTAACACCTTGACACGTGTTTCGATCACCAAGTGGTCATCTTCAAGAGGAAGATCAAACTAAAAATACTTACAATGTTATTCTTATTTATACCATAGATAGATACCTCTTCTAGGTACCTGTGTTTTGAGTGTCTTAAATTAATTTCACAATATTGCCTTATATACTACTTTTAAATTAATTTTTAAAATGTATCATAATGTAATATTCAGGTAACTCTGATAATTAAAATATTATTTTAACAAGCTATATAGTATTCTATTAGGTATTGCTCCACCATCGTTATTAATAATATTAGTATGTTTATTTATTTCTACACTCTCGTCTTCAAATTTATATAAAATGATGAGATATTTTAATTATAATTCTTCGAATAGGTCAAAGAAGAGGAGAAGTCTATTGAATACTTCTTTCAGTCTGGATATGTGGTCATGAATGGTAGGGAAGTAAATGATGATGTCGTCCATGTAAACGATACATTGCTCATTTTGGATTCCGAGAAGAATATCCATCACTCTTTGAAACGTTGATGGGGCATTCTTAAGGCCAAAGCTCATTCTGAGCTGGGATGTCCTTGTCATTGATTTCGATCTGATGGAAACTAGAATCAAGGTCAAGGGTAGTGAAATATTGACATTTGTCGAGTTGATTGAGAAGGTCTGATATCATTGGGAAAGGGTATTTTTCGTCTACAGTCAGTTCATTTAACTTTCGATAGTCAACTACTCGCCATTTCTGTTTTCCAGATGCGTCTAATTTTTTTGATACCAACCATACTGGGGATGACCAGGGAAAATTAGAAGGGCGTATGATTCCTTCTACTAACCTTTTGTTTATTTGTCTTTTGACTTATGAATTTGGGGGTAGCGGTATGATTTTGTATGGACCGGTTTTGCGTCTTTTGTATCAATATACCGTTCGTGAACATTAATCGATCACCTTCTAGATGGAAAATGTCCGAAAATTCTAAACATGTTTCTGTTATTAGTTCACATTCTTCATCATTTAAATGATCTAAACGTAATTGTTTTTTTATTTAAAATTCTCTATTAATTTAATTTTGTTCTGGTTCTGTTTCGTTTAATTCATTTAAAGAGAAATTTTGAATAGGTTCGATGTTTATGCCAGAAAAAATTATTGTTGTGGGTATATCGTTCGAATTTATGATTGAGGTCAAGAACTCTCCTTGTTTCATCTACCCTTACTAGGTAATTTTATAAACGAACGTTTTTTTTGTTTGGAGTTATCAGTATAGCATCCGTTTTTGAAGGGTTACATTTTAATTTGTAAATTCTTTCAATTCAAGGTTCTATGTTTATGGTATTTTTTGGAATTTCATCTATTAAGTATTAGTAATAGTCGAATTTACTTTCGAAGGCTAATTGTCAGGGTCGTATTCGAAAATGTCGTCAATTTTTGCAGTAGAGGTTTCTGGGTTTAATGTGACTTGGCATTTTGGTTTTGAATTTTGGGGTGGTTGAGTAGATACTGAGATGTTTTCAGTATTTGATGCTTTGAAGAGAAGTGCCGTTTTGAAGTCCGTCATTAATTTTTGATTTTTTTAATCAACTATGCCATTATAGTGTTCTAAAAAGTCAGCTCCGAGAAGTCCGTCGAATTCTATGTCGAGATCGTAAATATAAATTTTGTGGGGATCTGCGTCTGAGAAAGATATCAATACAGATTCAGTTATTAAAATGTTTTGATTGGTGATGTTTTGAATCATCATAGGTATATTCAGAAAATTGGTTCTTATATTTTTTTGTTGTTTTTGGTTTGAAAATTGAAAGTCCGTCTCCTGTGTGACCATGAGAGACTGTCCTATATGAATTTCTGTTCTGGGAAATTCAAATTGAGGTTTATAAATCGTCTACATTCGGGGTTTGAATATGAGTTTGAATTTCTTTGATAGGGGGAGGATCTGTTTGAAAATTCTGCTTCGGTTGGTTTGATTGGTAATGCGAGAAGTTCGTGTTGTGATATTCCGGATAAATATAGGTATTTGCATTTTTATTTAGTTTTTGTTGTTGGAAATATGAGAGTTGTAGCTCTAATTTTACTCTTTGAATAGCTTCGAATATGTAAGCTGGGTTTCCGACTCTTGCTATTTGTCCTATGGTTAGTTCTAAACCTGCCAAGATAATATTTAAAGTCATGGTTTGCATCGTAGGTTTGAAGTCTGTTTATGAAAGATAAAGGGGACTCATTGGGCATTTGATGAATTCTGTGAAGATCTTGTATCAAAGAGGCTAAANAGTAATTTAATTTCATCCCATGTTTGAAAGTTTCTAGAACTGATGAGTTCTGCTGCTTTTTCTTCTAATTTATTTTTGATATGTCATGTTACCAAAATGTTTTGATCTTGTACAGCCATGCGGTAAGCAGTATCATAAACATGTAAACATGTATTGATGATGATGATCTCCATTGTACTCAGGTATGATTGAAAACATTTCATTGAGTTTGTAAGGCTCAAGTTCGGGTACATGGTTTGCGTTTGTCATAATGATTGACAATAGAACTGGTTTTTACTTATGAATAAATATTCAGTTTGCAAAAATATGAAAAAGTCGTGATTCTTTTTTACTCACCAAAAGTTGTCCATAGAGGATGAAATCTTACTTCACAAGTTCTTCCGCTGTTGAAGAGACCGTCCTGCTGTGGTCCTGTTTGTCTGGGGTTATTGATTCTTCCTTTGAAAGATTGGGATCCACCACTATCGGTTAGGCTGATCCTTGTTCCGTCTAGTGTTGAAGAATCCTACCAATTTGTTATATCTCACTTTGGAAATATAATTTTTCATAAAAAGGTCAATAAACAACATATAACATCTATATGTTTGGTCCGAAAACAATGGGATGTCGTTGAATCAAGGGAAATGCTTCTGTATAACGTTTGCTACAGTGAATAACAAAATTCTCTTCAACTATGTTCTTGACGATATCAATCTAAATCGGCTCAATGAAACAAGACATTTGGGTATAGCCTTTCATTCAACACCACCATCAATAATGCTCTCAAACTTCATGGCTTTGTCCTCGGAAATTGAAAAGATCTAACAGTGGACGCCACCAAAATTGTTTACCTGTTTTGAGGTATTTACTGTATATGTATATTTCTTTTCCTTCATGGGTATTACCCGTACACATGAAGAAATAAATAAAGTAAATTAATATATAATGTGAAACATTGTTTCGTGCTATATAATAAGTTGCAAAATATACTCGTATATGATTATCAGCATATGGTATACAGGTTAGACAGTACAATATGTAGTTCCTAAGATGGATACCTTTTTTTCCTACAGCCTGTACATACATATTCACAACTTGAAAGTATTCAGTATTGAAAAACTTCTTTCTCTAGTTTCCATTTTTCCTCGTAATGATGCCGAATTTCTTATGGTGGTCATTTTAGAGTATCTTCTGTAGCCTAGAAGCTAGTGGGAAGTCTTCGACTGCCTCACAATAAGCCTTCCAGGCTTCTCTTTGCTTTTGTCTGCAGACTTTTTTGAACTCTCTGAGGTTGGCTTGATATATACCCCAGTCCTCTTCGAGTCTTGTACGTTTTGCCTTGTTAAAAATCGTTCTCGCTGTCTTCCTGAGGTGTTCCAGTTCAGGGCACCACCATGTATCGGTTGTGCCATCTGTTTGAACCATCCTCATCGGACATGATTCCTTATACGCAATGTCTATTTTGTTTTGGATAGATACCGTGTACCTATCCAGTTCTTCATTATTGCCAAGAGTAAGTACCTCTGTTTCCCGCAGAGCTCCTTTTAAGAGTCGATTGTAGAGAGCTACATCCGTCCTCTTCAGGTCACGGGATT